GCACAGAAATACATACTTACGTACACATCATTAACGCTGTCGTTTCACCACACATATCATAACATACACGCTAGCAAGCTCACTAAAGTGCAGCATCATTCTGCTTATACCCTTATTTGTATCTGTTACCTAACTATTAGCAAAACCACAGCAAAAAAATTTAAATGAAAATAAGAGCATTAGCGGATAAAATCGGATGCACAGATGCAACTAATTACGATCACAATTGAGACACTTTATTTATACAGTACAAGCGCAATAACGACGGCTAGTAAAGCCATTGGCTTCAACAAGCAGAGCTCGTATTTTCAGCAATCAATTACAGTCAGCTAAGCTTTGTCTTAAGACATCGTCGTAGCATAAAATGAACGTCTTTTTGTGCCATGAGATTTTATAAATAGTTGTTGAAGAATTGTCTCATATTTGTGTTTATGGATGTGTGAAGCAGAACTAAAAAGCGGAATAAACGATTCTTAAGCTGTGACGTTAAGTTTGCACGTTACTAAGATACTAAAATTGTACGAATTGGTCTGATAAAGTGAGATGCAATGGTCAATCGCATGACTGGGGAGCGTTTCAAATGAATAGCTCCCTTAATGCTTAAGAAGTTGGTGTGCATGATCAGCAGAGTTTATATAACTATACTGATAGCCGTAAATTATAATTTCTAGGTATTAGTTAAGAGAATTCTTTAAGTTGAAACCTGCTTTAAAATATCTGAAAATTACATAGAAGCTTAAGGCAAGTTTTAAGGATTCATTAACGCAAAAGTCCCGATGTTCATACAAAATATATGAGGTAACTAATCAACTAACCAGTATTTAAGAGTAAGCTCCAAAAACTTCTAAAATATATTTCAACTGCGAGATCCAAAAATCACTTACGTCTGATCAAATGGGCCACTGAGTTGAATGGAATTTAAGTCGATGACGATACCCCACATTGTTTCAGAGAGGAAGTGTAAGAATTAATTAATTAATTAATGAAAATTATTGCCTTGTTCATTTCTTACATAAAGAATCGTAATAATGTTAAAAGCAATAAATAGATGTGGTTCAAAATGTACATTTTCTTACATCTACGTACAACGAATTTTTGTCTATAGCTGATTGTAGGCAACATTTCATAAGGGTCAAACTAGAATACGTAGATGCTAATTTAAACTCCATCAGTTTCATTCATAATATGAATTTTCTCCGTTAAACTATATAACATCTAATATTATAATTTCTCTTAATTCTGTTAAGTTATCTTACTTATGCATTGATGTACATACATACGTACGGTATAATGTCAATCGGAAACAGAGTAAAAATGAAGATAACTTAATGAAAGTAGTACACATGTTCCTTGGCTAACACTAAGTAATATATACCTAAAATTTTTGAACTTCCGGCTGACTTTATACTGCATATATCGGCCAACATATGAGTTATCTCAATGAAAATGAGAGAACGTATATTACTTACAATGTATCTTTGTTCCTAAAAAAGATACAATTCGGCGAAAACTTGACCTAGCCCTCATATAACAAACATTTAACATTCGGGTGACTTTACTCTTTATGATTAATGATGGTATGTGAGGCACCTTAACAAAACCCGGAAGGCATTTTATTAGTTTTTGGGTATCGGTTAAACCACAATCTCTTCCTTACTTGTTAAAATTGAATTTCCCTGGCATTTTTCTCAGAAGATGCCCGTCGGTGAGCAAATTGTATGCCTAAATGATCTAATTATAGAAAATATTTAAAGGATCGACTTCAAGACACATTCACGTAACACTCAGTCTATGAATACAATACCTATACTTATAAGTATAATTTAATGCGCAAAGATGCAACAAAACTATTGTAGTGTTCAACATTTGTATATATCTATTTGATATTTTTCACTTCTTTAAGTGCCGTATATAATTGGCATTTAAATGCATTTGGTTATGGCTAGACCATAACATTTGTTATGACTATATTTCACAGATACTGTGTTACAATTTGGGGAAAAGCTTTACTAATTTATTTTTAATAGATGCGATACAAACAGAATCTTTTGAAAGCAACGAGCTCTGTGCAGATATTGATATTTGACGGTGTCAATTGATACCAGAGCATTTGTTGTAATAGTATTGTTATGTACTTCTTGAGCAGATGTCGAGTTCTATTGCCATCTCTCTAACACTTGTCTGATGATTTTCAAGTACCATATCCTTCACTATTTTAATATTCTCTTCAGTTGAAGAGGTCGATGTCGACGTCCTAAACGGGGCATATCTTCAACGACCTCTCGACCATCTTTGATGTCTTTGTACCACTTGTAGCATTGTGGTTTTGATAAAACCGTATTAAAGTGAGCCTTTTCCAACACTCGCAACGATTCCGCACCTGAAATTTGGTTATACAAAATTTGAGATAAATTCTTTGTTCAATATTCTTTATCCATTGTAAAAATCGCCACGCACTACTGAGGTGTACCGACTTAAGCAGTTCCTGTAAACAAACCAGTTGACAGATCGCGCTCATATTAGAATAGTAATTAAAGACAGTAAAGAAAAAGATATTTCTGTTAAATATCGTGTACCCGAATAATTTAATTTGAAGGTGCTCTTTTGTCGCAATGTATAGCTGTCAGACAAACTGAACGATCGGAATCAAGTGCTTACATTAGAAAACTTTTGCATTTGACGAGATATCTTCAAGAAGTTTGGCATGGGTTATTTTCTAAGGCAACAATGTAATCTCCCAAGAAATTGTTCATATAACTGCCGCACAAAATGGCTGCTCAAAATCAGGTTCTTGTATGAAAGCTTTAACCTGAGAGATGTATTATAGCTTCGGTGCAGCCAAAGATCATCAGCCAGCAACTTCGACAAAATATTTTAGAAACGATTATATTACTAAGTAAAATTGCTTTTAGGACCACTTGACTATTTACTAATATTAATAATTCATAATAAATACCTAAGTGTATGGTAAGTATATATATATACATAAGTGCATATATATACAAGTACATTAGAGCGGGTTTAATTACAGTGAGCCAAAAAACCCCAACAGCCGTGTTTGTGGAAAATGTTCTACAGATCATTCTAAACAAGAGACTTTGGGTTTAAAACCACTTTGGAGCCAAGAATTCTTATGGCGAATTTTTTTATAGATTACAAAAATGTGTCATCTTGATATTACATTGATCATTTGTTGGATTCGATCAGATAGTGTGATATCTGGCTTTATGCAGATTTTTTCAATTTCGTCTTCAAAATAGGCGACTCAAAACCGGTTTTAGACCCATAGATTCTTAGGCAAAGTTGTTCAGAATGATCGGTGGAACATTTCCCATATACGGAATTTTATAGAAAAATCGACGCGCTCTAATGTACACCGCTTTTTTTTAATACTCGTACGGCTTACAAAATGTAAATAATAGTCTGTCATTGGATGCTCGGAAAGCTTCTTCAGTTCGCATATCTTCTTCACAGCATGAAACAAAACTGCTGTTGGCTACTGAGGCAGCACACGCTTCTGTCAAGCAATATTTACTACCCAGCGCTTACTTTTCTATGAGTGATGATGATGATGTGGAAAATTTTTCACAAATCTGCTGACTGTCGCTTAATTATCACTTTTTGGTGCATTGAAGAGAGACTGCACGCACTACGCTGCATCAAGTGGCTACTAGAGACTCTAGACAGTGTGGCGAGTTGGATGAAATTGGAGACAAAATTATTCTTGCTAACTCATGTAAGTATTATTCTATTTCTGAAGTTATCGACTTTAAAACAAAGACAATGCTCTAGCGTTTTAAAATACACGAATTTCTATTTGTCTGTATATTTGTAGTACTCTCCAGGGTAAGCAGAGGAAGAGAAAAACCTAAAACCCGTTAGAAAGACCCGGTGGAAAAGGATTTGGCTGCACTCGGAACCTCCAATCAGCGCGAAGCAGCGAAAAGGAAGACGACTGGTGCGCTGTTGTCAACAAGGCTATACCAGCGTAAGCAGTGCCTACGAAGGAGAAGAATTTTTCGTTTTTTGTCTCAACTTTACCACTGTGCATCGGTCCGACCGCTTCTTCAATGTATACTCAATAAAATCTCATATTTCTTTCGGCAATATATTCACTAAGTTGTAAAGCTATCAGACGTTATGTGACAATCTGCTCAGTGAGTTTTGCACTTCAGTTCCATTTTCATTTGGTGTTTATATAATCACAGTAGCAAACGTTCACACTTTTTATATCGACAAGATAAATAATGATCGACGATGCTTAAGTGGATTCGCAAATAAACTTTATCAACATTATTTCTTCATCTTTAAATCAGAAGTTATACCAACTCATTCGATCAATTTTGGTTTTCAATATATGAGGTATTCTTCATTTTCTTGAGTAGGAATGATAGAGGCAAGATTGTAACACGATTTGTAGTAAAAGAAACGATCTTTAACACTTGTGACATCACGAACTAATGTAGGTTTTTGTCAAATGCGCTTTAAAAGACCAAACGGGACTAAAGGGTTATTATCTATATTGCTATCCTTACTGATTTTTGTAATGCTGGATAAAGGCTATTACCACCCATATATAATTATAAGATCAAAGGTAGAAATAATATTTCTATAATAAACTAGTTTTACACTACTCCATTCCTAACTTTAATCACAGAGGAAGCATCTTTAAATACCGATGGCTCGAAAGCAGCAGTTGGTTTTGGCATGGCGAACGATTAAGCTCATCATACCAAAGGACAGATGTCCGAGCATTTTTCAGGTGAGGCTATTCGTAACGTTATACTGAGCACATTGAGACAAAGCTCAAGGCAATATCGCGGACTGCTCGGAAGGAAATTTGCAGCAAACGAGATATCGGAAACTTATTAGGGGTTTTCATACAACAGAGCCCTTATTCGCAGTGAGCGCCATAATATCTGAGAAATCTTCCATAAAGAGAGATCTGACAAGGTTCAATCAAATAATCAACTTGGCCAGAAACAAATTACATACATAAATTTAGTTTTTTATTGGTTTATTCAAATTTTTTTATCCAAACATGTTGCTAAAGTATTTCGTTTACCCTCGGGTAGTTAGCATTATCTTATTATGGTCGGCCGCACTGATGCTTAAGTTCTCGCCTGTTTTTGAGCTATTTGATTGCATACAAATTATACCGCTTGGTTACACTATATTTTTTCATTATTCAGTGTCCATATTCACAAAACTCTTTGCAGATGTCGTCGATCACACTGCGTTTAATCCGTTTTAATGACATTCGCTGTTTTTTGGAATCCAACATGTATGAAATAAGTGCATGGACGCAATCAAAGTAAAGCAAACCAGCGGTGCCCTCATTCAAATCCAGATACCGGAAGCGATTCACATTGCAAGTGCAACCGTCATAAATAAAATATATTTTGTTATGCTCATCGTGTGCACGAAATATCACATAATTGCCCCAGGGCGTCATAATGAAAACGCGATCCGCACAGCGCATACCAGCGCGAACCAACTTACAAAGACTCTCGTAACTACCGCTCTCCGAGCCAACGACAGCCATGCGTTCAGGTTCTTCTAAAATTCCGGGATAGTGATTTGGTCTACAAGCCACAGCTCCTTTGCAGCAAGCATCTTCGGTGTAGCGGCACGGATCATCAGATTTTATCTTATCATTGCATTTAGGTTCTGGTGGCGGCGGAGGTGGTGGTAAGGGAGCTGGTTCCGCGTGAACCATGGCCGATGCCGCTTTCGATTGACGCACTGATATTTTGCTCTTCTTTCGTTTCCCTTTGTCCTTACCCTTACCCTTCTTTCCTTTCCCTAACGAGGGATCTTCACTTAAATCGCTTTTGCGGTCTGTTTTGCCTTTCTTGCCCTTTTTTCCACCATCGGCTTGGTCATCTTTTTTGCCTTTCTTATCCTTTTTGCCTTTCTTGGCCATGATGATAGTGGAGTAGAGGGTGCACTTTTTTAACTTTAAATTTTTTTAATTTTCATTTATTTCAAAATATTGCTCTTTGTTTATATTTGTTTATTTTCAATTTTATTTTAAAAATTATTTCAACATACTGAAATAATTTGAAAAGTTTGAAATGTTTGAGCAACTTTTAATTCTACGTAAAGTTCAGTACGCAAAGTCTGCTTATAAAAATTATTTCCTTAATTGACTTATTCGATATAGTTGTTTTAATATGAAATGAAATAGGAATCCTAGAGATATGTCTCACATTAACAAGGAATATGCCTTAACATAGTTGTAGTACTATATCCTGTAACTTTCAAGTCATTAAAGAAAAAACCCTCCATAAAGAAAATACCGCTACTTTTTATTGATTTTATATATTTACAGAGGACAAAAAAACTTAGGTTTTAGAGGTGTAATGTCGAATTATTGGTATTTAACAAATTAATTGTTAAAATGGCTGCCTAAACTATCTCAGCAACAGTGGTAGGTTAAGTGTCATGCATGATAATACTACCTATACTATTTGTATGAGAAAGCTACTGGATCAGTTTAATAGGCATAAATGCAAAAAGACAATCCTTTTTCATCTAAATGACTTTCGTCTTCCTTCGTAGCGCACCACTCATTCTTCATTTTCGCTATTTGGAGCCAATTGGATATTCCAACGAAATGTTGGTCTTTCTCTTCTTCTGCTTCCCCCGGCGGGTACTGCGTTGAATACTCTCAGAGCTGTAGTGTTTTCGTCCATTCGGACGACCTGATCTAGTCAGTGTAGCCGCTGTCCTTTAATACGGTGAACTATGTCAATGTTGTCGTATATCTCGTAGAGCTCATCGATCTATCAAATGCTTTCTCTCTAAAACTTGCAATATCGACTCATCAGTTATTATCTTCGTCCATGCCTCTGCACCGTATAGCAGGATGGGGATAATGAGTGACTTACAGAGTTAGGTTTTTGTTCGTCAAGAGAGGACTTTATTTCTCAATTGCCTACTCTTACAGAAGATTGTACCAGATCGATAAAGCTATACAGCTTGAATTATTTTCTCCCAGCAGTAGATTGAAGACAGGGAGTCGACATGTCTGAAACCTCGTTTGCTGTCGAACGGTATTGCTCAACTGCGGGTTACAGAGCCAGAAAAAGTTTCGCGGAAATAACACATTCGGAGATAGCGGCATAACGCGCTGTCAAAAGCAGCGGGCAAATGGAAAAAGAGGTGGTATGTCGATACTCTTATCACCAGTCTTTTCCAAGGTTTGGCGCAAGGTGAATATCTGATCAGCTGTTGATTTTTCATACCTTACGCCACACTGATAAGGTCCCATCAGTTTGTTGACGGTGAGCTTTCGCTGATACGCTCGACGCGGTATTGAGAAGGCTTACCCGAAAGGAACTGATGCATGCTTCTTATCAGTAATTGCTGTTCGAACTTCTTCATGGTCGGGCAATGGAACGTAAGCTCCATCTCTGTACAAATGACATTAGGCTGGATATACTATATATACCTGTTTGTGATTCATAGAAAATTTTGAGAGAAAGTTTTGTTTCAGAAAATACATATTTCAAACATTTGAATTGTCTGACTTCCATTAGGTTTTGTCACAAAACATCAACTACTAAAGTGACTTCTATTACCAATATTGTAGAGATTATGCTTCATAGAACCAAATAAATTGGTACTAAATAAACTTTGATTCAGTCTGAAATTAAATTTAGTTAAATTGATACTGATCTGATTTATTGCCAATATAATTGTGAGTTCATCGGAAATAAAATTATGGTGAAATGATCAGGGTTATTAACCTGCATACAATGAATATATTATATTCAAAATAAAGAGGTTCACAAAATGTGAGCCTAGTAAATTATTACAGGTTGGGTTAAGTAGATGGCTGATCTAAAGAGATATCACGTTAATTGCTATATGTAGTCCTTTGTGAAGCCATTGGAAAGAAGAACTCCTGTGTTCGAACTTATAAATTAAAAAAACGCTTAGTAGCCAATACAAATTTGCATAGACGTTTAATATCTATTCAAGCCAGTTCGATGGGATAACAGCGCTCCCAAGTGTTTAAACCTTGACGGTTCCGCTAGGGCCTGGCACCCATACCAATCTTATCACAAAGAGATAGTCGACTACATTATCCAAGAAATCCGGTATAAAATCAAAGTGCGTGGAGATTTCTGTGTTGTTAGACACGTGTTCTTTTGGGAATCCAAATTTTCTAAGATTGAGAGCAACTTTCATAACTATACACATTCCGACGATGTCTACGGGCCGTTATTGGAGCGAACTTCACACCCGTTGAACGCTCTCGAGTTTCTTTGCAAGTATGGTCTTTTCTAGAGCCCTCCACCTCATAAAGACTCCATAGAACATAGGGAGTTTGACTGTGGTGTCGTGGAGCCAGAGGATAATTTTCGTTGAGAGACCACTTCTTGTGTCAATGGCTTCTCTATTGTTACTATATTTAGCTCTGCTGGTATAGAAAGATTGGGCAATGAACATTCAGAAAAAAACTAATCATAATACGATGCGTGTATGTCTAAAATGTTCGTACAATGCTTGTTAGTAAACAGTTGGTTTTACACCTGTGTCTGCAGCATAAAACCTCGTTGAAGCCGACGCAATATTCTTACTTTTGTGTTCAAAACAATGTACGTAAATGTTTATGTATTTAAAAGAGACTGTGTGAATGGAGGCTTGCAAATCGGGATTACACAATGGTTCAATGCAACACCGAAACCGTTTTATGGATTAACACATCGAGATATTATTATTCTAAACATTTACCTGATCGAATACAATATTTTAATAGCCTTTCGTGTATTTTAGTGTCTTTACATTTTTATAGATTGAAAATAAAATAAAGCAAATGCAATCATAAAGCTCCTCTTCGCACACAACTTCCTCACATTTATGATCAAATACACAGTAAACCCTAACGGCATTCGCTTTGTAGCGTTAATGACCGGGCCGAGACTGTAAACTTTGGCGTTATGGCTACATTCATTCATAGATATAAACATATGGTTATCTACTTATATTTATTTCTGCTGCTTCAGTAGCACGCGCGTTCACTATTACAAGCAAATTTTGGTCGATGAGTTGTCTTCGGTTGCGTTTTACGCCCCGCTCATCGCTTCTATGATGCTTGTGTGAACAGAAGATGTGTGATTGCGTCAGGATTCGGCGAAAACGCGAAGCGCTTACAACCGAAAAAGTGAATGGATAACTTTTGTTGTAAATGTAATGAATATAAGCGAACATCGCTTGTCGAAAAAAACGAATCAATTATGTGAATAAATGCATTTAAACGGCAGATAGAACCAGCAAGAGTGATTGTAATATACGCAAAATTCTCTTTCCAGAGTTTGGAGTACCGTAAAATGTGCGCTGCTTATAATCGTATATTTGCAACCCTAAGTTAGATTAAAATCAAATGTTCAATCGAACCAGTCGCCATTGTATCATTGTGCTCAAGAATTTCACAGTTACTCGCAAGCTTTTTTTTTTTTTGTAGGGGATGCATCGAAAACTGAAGTGCGGAACTTTAATCCGCTAAACCTAAACCCATGGAACCGCCGGCTAAGTATTACTTCGTGGGAGGGACAGGACGTTTAAGTCTCTTCTATTGTCTCGTGTATCCATACTGGTGCTGCATACAATATTACGGACCTTATTGCTTTTGCTATTAAAAATTATATTGGTTTCATATCTGTTACTGTCATCTTAGCACCCCGTCATATATGAAGTTCCATAATAGTGGGCACAATACTGAACCTTGGGGTACTCCACTCGAGATAGAGTAGCTCTTGGTGTCTTTGTCCGTATCAAAAATCAGCCTTCTGATTTTGAAATAACTCGTTATAATATTTATGATTTACTCAGGGGCGCATTTCCAGGGCTTTGATTATGTGTGCCCATGCGTCATGCATTCTTGACATGCTGGGTAATCAGCTCTCAGATTTTCTTCTTGCCATCTTTCCATCTATTACCACTTGTTCATCAACTATCGCTTGAAGTATTTAGTACGAAGGAAAATTATTTTGCTACGAAATTTACCGGCAGGCTCTCGAACTGAACAAATTTCTATGAATTATGATAAAACTACAGTGGTCTAGTTGAAGGTGCATCTACCATCGATTGAAGTTAAGTACCTAGAATTCGTCCCAAACAAGAAGCTTTTGGAGAAAACACCAAAAAAATCATCGGTTGCCCTGTTTTCCGGGGGGTGAGTAATTAGCAAAAGTACAGAATGGTTTGGAGCGCGGTTGACTTCTTGTGGCTTACTACTAAACTGTTTTGCCTAAGACCAGCAGACGTTGGACACAATGTCCAAATTCTTTTCGCTCACAGCACCTATCAATGGTTGTTGTAGTTATAAATGGGGAACTATCCGAAGGGAATTCATGTAAGTTTGAACATCCAATTGGAAGAATGTGGGAAAGATTCACGAATGCCCAACACTTTCTACATCAATGCAGAAATAATCTTAGACATCCAAATTAAATAGGGAAATTGGAATTAAAAGATGTAAGCAGATTTATGAAAGGTTCTGAAAGAAGGCGAGAGATTCCATCAAGCCCTTTAATGGAGAAGCGCTATTACGGGGTCAGTAGGGTAATCTGGCCTATTTTTATGACATTTATTTTCTCATAGAATTTGTATTCTACAATAGAACTTTTTGAACATATCATGAGGTATATCATGGAGTGTATAAACAAATTTTTTCGGAATTTTTTGGTTCTGAAACAAGTGTGAAGTACGTGAATGGTTGTCGTCCCTACTAGAATAATGAATGTTGATAAATTAAAATATAACTAACGTGTTTTTTTTTTAATTTATCCCCATGTTTTTTTACATAAATTTTGTCATAACATTGTCAAAAAATCATAAAAAATTATGAGACTAGTATAGACGATAGCCAGACGTTTTGCGAACATTAAAAAAAATTAGCAAATCGATTGAGTAGTTCGACCGTAATCATGTACACCAGTTTAAAAAAGTGTGTTTTGAGAAAACGCGTTTAAAGTTTGAGGTACTTGAGCGATATTATTATTTTTTCGCCTTT